GACAGAGTGCTGGGACCTCTGTACAACAGTCATTTCAATACTTCAAATTGGCAGAACTTTGTGTACCCACCGGTACATAAAGATGTGCAGGAGCGGATCGCACAGGAGGTGAAAGAAGTTAAAAAACTGGTTGAGCGTGTCTGTCGCTACCCAGTGACATCATTCACGAAGTTACACCGATTAAATAGCACCAAAGACTATACTATTGTATAGTCTTTGATAGCACTGACCTCGAGCTATGTGGCAGTGTTATTGTTGGTATGGTTGCTGATGTGATGGAAAATCTGCCGACGGAAGGTCGCCAAGACTTCCACAGAAATCCGCAACGATTTATGGCGACAGTCGTGGGAGTCTCCGAGCTGGATACTCCAAAACCGGAGTACTCTCGACCGAGTACACCGAGGGGATACCCTTCAGGATGTGGGCGATGCTTGAGCTATGGGCACCACACGCAAGTTAATGAAACGGAAGCTAGTTCCGTCCACTTTGAAGCCAGCTATTGCTAGCACTTTCCAGCGTGGTGGAGATACAGTCGAGAGCAGTGGGATGTGGTACTCATCGAAGATGAGTACAAATGGCTGACCAGTAAAAACCGAAAGGTTTGATAGTAGGTATATTTTTCCACGTTTGAGCCTTTCGACGTGCCCTGGTCGCTCGACATGCCGAATGGCTCTTTTAATCTCTAATAGTGGATGGTTCAACAGTTTTACCTCGTTGAAGGAATGCATAATTTGTTTGAAGCTACAGTGAGGTGAGACATAGTGACAACGGATTTAAAAGAATTAAAATGGCAGGATCTGAAAAGAAAATCCGGTAAATTTATGTATGCTGCCCTATATACCGAGCTATATGGGTGGTGAAGGACGCCATCACGTCTTCGTCGAGTGCCATCGTTTCGAGTACGATGGGCGCGAGCCGGAGAAAGAGCTAGCCACCAGCGACAGCGTGGGAGGAAAAGCTTTGCGGCTTTACCGCGCACAGATATTCACCATCAGAGATCACTAGAAAACACAAATGGGACGGACACATATGTGTCCAGAAACAGCCGTCAACGGGACAATGATGTAGTATTGGTGGCGTCCCAAGTTAGATTTTAAACAAATTATTAAATAACACTCACTTCGATAGGCTAACGGCACAATTGAAAAGCAGGTAAGGAGGCAAGTATTCTCGCAGTTTGTGAATAGAGTTGAATTGTTTATCCAAAATCGCAGGAATAGCTGGCGGCCTCTTTTGAAAGCGTGGGTGTGTTTGTGTTTAGCTTACAGCTATCGTGTAAAGTGACCCCACTATCAACTTGTTCCTTCGCTTACCTTTGCGCCACCAAGATGAATGTAACATGCACAATTTGGGAGTGGACTACAAAGGAAGAAGGAGATGCAAAAAGAAAGAAGGAAACGTATGAACACGAACACGAAAGTCCACCAAAGCCTCCAAATTTTCCACCAAAGCCACCAAATTGTCCGCCAAAGCCACCAAATTTTCCGCCGAAGCCAAATAATTTTTCACCAAAGCCTAATAGTCCGCCTCCACAAACTCCCTCCATAAGTCCAGATCATTATATCGAAAGAATGCCTCCAACACCTAAACCGCCACCAAAAGACGACTCTGGCTCAGATTCCGAAATAGGAGAATGGAGTGGTATCGTAACCCCAAGGCACGACGTAGCCAGCGTGTCGTCAGTGCGGACGGTGGAGCTGATAATAAACGTTTACGGGATTCTCCTAAAATCAAAATGTACATCCGTTTTAAAAAAAGTGAAAAAGGAGCCATTGACGCCTGGAGACAGGAAGTTAATCAGAAAAGCTTTTACGGCGTTTTATTTTGAACAAAAACTAAAGTTATCCATGTCAAAGTCTCGCCAACTTGTTGACGAAATAACCGAGTTATTTCCCAATGAAATAACTTCCAATTGGACCAGCGGGAGTACAAATCGTGTAAATTTCTATAATAACATACAATCGAAACAGTATGCGCTAAAAAAGAAGCCTAAGGCTAAAAGTATACCGCCATCCAACGCTGCTGTAACACTCTGCTGCCATGCAGACAAACTTACATGCAGCACCTGCGCGGAGTTCACCTGCACAAAATGCAGTGCATCGTGCAATAAGTGCACCCAACTGATATGCAGCACATGCGATTTTTCCAAAAGAGCATTGTAAGTCTATCTATCTTTTTCTAACATTCTAACAAATCTAATATGATCTCTAATGTCTCTTCCACAGAAATCTGGAACTGCTTTGCCAAATGTGCGAAAAGTTCCAGGACTAAAATCGGACTTCAATATTACTCCATTATTTTATTATATTATTATTATATTATTAGAATTATATTATTATATTATATTATTAATAAATTGTTTGTGCTTAGTAGTTTTAGTCTCAGTCTTTAGTCTTCAATGTATTCGAATGGCTCTGGTGGCCTTGGCGATAAAAAGTAAACGCAATTATCACCCGGAAACCTTCCACGCAGATGCTATAACGTTAGATAACGCCAATCAATCAATATAAGCGCTGAAATCTGAAGAGTAGCCAGTAGATTTTAAAGCCCTAAAAGTATGTGTAAGAGGGTGAAATGAGCACGGACTCCTCGCCAACTGCGTTGCCAACAACGCCTCCGCCCCCTAGGCCCCTTTAGGTATACAAAGGCCTAGACTAGGGCTTACACGCAACATAGCGACTGTTTTTTTTGTTGAACTATTTACAATAAATACAATAAAGGATTAAAATTTATCCAATCTTGTAGAAAATTGATTCATCAATCGTAAAAAATTGAGTGGGCATGGCTAAATGTTCTATATATCTAGTATTATTTCAGTAAAATAGAACTTGAATTAATCAGTATAGGTATATTTTGAAAATGAGACGGTATATTTCGATATATTTTTATCGTCTATTGTCGCAAAACTGGTGCGCACCAATTTTTTTTTTTTGACTTCGACACAAAACCAGGGTCTATATAAAAATCAAATAAAAGCAAGTATTTAAATCAAGTCAATCAGGTAGAAAATTGATTCATCAATCGTAAAAAATTGAGTGGGCATGGCTAAATGTTCTATATAGATGGTAATATTCGACGGAATATTAAAAACGAGGAATATGTATAGTATACCTTGAAGTCGTCAGTATATTTACGGTATATTTTAAAAATGAGACGCTATATTTCGGTATATTTCTGAGGGTCATATATTTCGATTGGTTCGACTGGTTGGCGCACTTTTGGTTCGGTCGGTAAACTGGCTCCACGGGCTCCAACCAAATAAATACTTTACGCGGACCGTTGTGGCGTCGTCGATTCTACGGTCATCGGATTATGCGTTCTGCGTGCGTTTAAAAATTAAAAAGTAATTACAGAAAACCAACACAAAATACCAAATGTGGCAAAAAATTAACTTTAGGCTCCCCCACGGTTCCATTCCCCCCCGCTGCCGCTGCCCCACTCTGATTGTGCAAGTGAATGTATGTAAAAATGTGAGAGAAGGCAAAAAAAGTTACACTACGTGCGCGTAATAAAAAACGAGGCCGATATGCACGAGGAGGAGTGAATGGGGTGGGGTGGTGGTGGGCGGCGGTCGGTGCTGAAGGTGGAGGTGGAGGTGGCAGTCGTCGGCAGACTCCACCCGCACCCCCCCTCTCCACCACCGAAACATATAATATACATACATACAAAAATCTACCTATCACTTTGGCCTGCTCCCCCGTTGCTGTTGCTGTTGTTGCTGGATGTTGACGGCAAGGTTTTTGGTTCGGGTGGGGTGGAGAGTAGGAGGTCCGCCCGTTGGGCTTCCCTGCTTTAGTTTCGGTGAGGGGAGACAATCAATAAACACGCTTAGCCAGGCCCCAGCCCACAAGCCTGTTGGGTCGGCCGATGACGAGCTTAAGTGTGAAGAGTAGGCCAGGGAGAGGGGGTGGGCTTTGCGGAGACTTGGCCCCCGTGCGCATATGATTCAAATGCCGGTTTTGAACGCAAGCCGTCGGCAATATTTCGGATTGGAGTGGTATGCATTGCTCCAGCTATACACTATCTATATGATCTCTGATTGGCATTGTGAGGTCTCTAATCAGATTTACACACTCACACTCACATTCACCCATTCACGCAGCAGTTGAATGTGTAGATGGAAATTAATTAATTAACTGTTTGCGTAATTGAATGAATTGAAATTAAAAGTGAAAGATTAACGGCAGTGAGTGTGAGTGTGGGCAGGGGTGAGGCAGCGCTCTCACGAAAGTAGCATATTCTCAGTGCGTGTGACCCGAAAAACGGCAGTGTGCCTCACCTTTTTATAATACACCTTAAACGTGTGTCTTAGGAGTGTGTGTATTGCTGCTATTGATGGCTATCGCTATCGAATTGCAACTCCGCAATTGGGTCAGGGGCGACAACTACTTAAATTGCCAATAGCCGGCGCAATTGATACCGAAACTCGAAAACCAAGTCTTTGTTGGCCTGTGTAGGAGTTGTCGGGCCAAAAACCCACACCCACACCCACACAGTCGGCAAGTGCAAATAAACAGTACACACATACATGTGCACATAAAATTGCTATAGCAAAACGAAAATGCACAGAGAGGAAGATAAATATATGTACTCGAAATGTTTACTTAAGCGAAAAGTTATTTCGCACACACGAAATGGGGCAAATAATTAATTAAACAATTATATGGCAGAACATGTTCAAAAAGAACACACATATCAAATAAACAAATGAGAGAACGTGCAACAGCACAGCAAATAAATCATTGGGCACCGATACCACTCCAATCAACTTAATTACAGCACTCTCAAAGAGAGCACTTAAATTTACAGAGTTCGTCTCGTGGTTTTTTTCCTCCTCCAGCATCTGTACATACATACGTGTATGTAACAACAAAAGTAATAGCAAACACGATAACGGAACGGTAGACAAAAAAAGAGAAGCATTAAAATCCCAGCAAATACGAATTTTTCAATCAAATCTAATAACATATTTCAGTTGTTGTTGCTTTTTGTTGGTACATCAAAGTCAATTTCTCGAAACTCGAAACAGCGATTCCCGGCCAGAATTCCCGAAGCAATAACCTATCCACACCCACTGCCACCCACTCAAAAGCAACAACAACACTAAAAGCAACAGAGACAACAACCGCAACGAGAGAGTAACAAATTAAATTTGGTTTTAGCCATAAAAAAAGCAGCAAACAAGAGGCCAGAGAGAAAGAGGAAGCCCTGAGACAAGAGACAAGAGTGGAGCAGCCGAGTAGCAGAGGAGCGAAGAGCAGGGAGCAGAGAGCAGAAGAGCAGCAACAGCAGGAGCATCCATCAGCAAGTGGCAGCCCCAAAAGAAGCCGTTTCAAGCAGCCCATCAAAATCCGTTACCGTTCCGTACGACGCGACGCGACGCTCGTTCCGTGGGGGAAACCAGCAACAAAGTCAGGTGAGTGCTCCGCCCTGCCGCCCCGTCGCACAGTACTCGAGTGAGAGGGTTCCGTGGAAAGGTTGAAGAATGGTGTGGGTAGGGGTTCCGTTCGGTGTTGCTTTTTGCTGTGTGTTCCCGTTTTCCACTTGGTTTGTCTTTCTCCCTCTCCCCCCTTTCTCTCTCTCTCTCACTGTCTATCTCTCTCCATTGTACGCGATTAAATATTTTACGCGCTTATCAATTGCTCAAGGGTTGGCATTGGTTGATAAACAAATACAAATGAAAAAGCAAGCAGCAATTAAATAAAGCAGCACTCACGGCAGAGCCGTCTGCTTGTGGTGCTTCAGGTGCAAGGTGGAAAGGTGGAGTAGAGGAGCGAAGGCGATCCGTGGGGTAGAAGGAAAGACAATTCTAAAACGAAATAATATGGTTGTATAACAGATCGATGTACTTGTATAATAGATAAAGGCATAGAAAATATAATCATATATGTATGTATTAAGCTGTGTATAACATTTACCAGTTATATGCCTGTATAACAGAGGTATTCTTAAGAAGTATAACAGTTATATTTGTGTTCCTTTAACTTTTCGGCACTGTATAACAGATATAAAAATAGGAACGATTCAAAGCTTCCTCTATTTTTTTTGTGTACTTTTCCAACACTGTTTCTTCGCTGCTTTCGCTGTAATTAATTCCATTTTGTATATATTCAGCATTTTCACGAACAGAACAACTTTTACAGCAGCTGTAGAACTGTCCCAACGGCAGACATCGCATCCATCAACAGAAAAAACATACAATTTCTAAGCCAAATTCAATTCAGAGTCAAAAGAAGGGCCAAAGAGACAGAGCGCGTGAGTGCAGGGTGGGGGGGTAGGGGAAATGGGTAACTTTTGGGGAGGACTAACTTCAATGCGTATCCGATTCAATGGCCTGGAGGCGAGGCTTGTCCTTCCATTTCCATTCCCATTCCCTGTGCTCTGCTCTCGATCTCTCCGCATCGAACGAGAGTGAAGGCCCCTCCCATTGTCACAGCAGATTCCTGTCATGTCCTCACGTTTCCTGGACCTGTTAAGCTTATGGGCCGGCTTACCATTGCGACTGCTCCTGGCGCTTCTCCTTCTCATTCGGCTGCGATGTTGGAGGGCTCTACAACGGGGCTTATATCTCCCTTTATTGATTGATTTTCCTATCATTTTCAGGAGGGGCTCCATTATGGGCAGTAGTTCAATGGGCAAAGCTGTTAAAATAAAAATTCATCAATAATATTTGCCCAGCGACCGTCGATTTGTATGCAATGGGAAATGCTCTAAAAATAAAAACACAATTTTAGTTTGTTTGGCTTCCTTCCTTCTTGGGCCGTAATGAAAAAGTTCCAACTTTTCCTACAAGCTGGCTTAAAGGCATTCACATTGACAGGAGGCACATGCTCCGTTTCGTTGGTATCCCTTTTATGTTTCTTTCAATGCTACCTCCCCACCCCTCTCTCTCGTTCTCTCTTTCTCTGTGTCTCTGCCACTGACAAGGGTGAGCACGTGAAAAACTCATCATGGAACAAAAAAAAAAAGGTAAAAGCCGACAAAGAACCGGCAACAGAATGAAACGATTCTTTATGACATTCATCTTTTATTTTGTTTTATTTTATTATGGCCCAAGCAATTGCCAGCGCATATTGTTTTCCCGTTTCTGTTTCTGTTTCTGATTCGCAATTAATTTTTCACCACCAAAAATAGAACAGAAAAGAATTACAGATCTATCGCGTAAATAAACAGAAAACAGAAAACACGCTGCACATGAACTGGAATTTTGGCTGGAATTTGGGGCTTCCACCTGTCCAATGACATCAAGAAACTTAAGTTTATATTATTAATTAGCTCCGTGTCGTTACCGCCGCTGCTGCTGCATAACTTTTAAGTCTAATTAGACAGGAGACGGGGACAGGACAGGGACATGGACAGGGACAGGGACAGGGACAGGGACAGGAGATAATACCCTGCCGCGTGACGTCAACTAAACTTTTGACGGATGTTGATAAATTATGTGTAAATGTTCGTATTTTGCGATTTTTGATTTGCGAAAGTGAGTCAGTGGCGCACTCCCTGCCCCCCGACAAAAGTTACGGCGCATAATTTGGCGTTTTCTTCATCGCAAAGTGGCCAACAAATTTCGGCCTAAATAAATAATCATAATTTTGCTCAAAACCAGCCCCGGCCCCGACCCCGGCCCCGCCCGAAGCGAGAACGAAATGAAAAGAAATATTCACACAGTGAAAAATTTAATTGTTTGGCCAAATGTAAAGAAAAACCGAATGAAAAGAAACGTTGAATATACAATATATATGTATGTATATTGTATATTGTATATTGTATGTGTGTGTGTTCGTGCGAGTACATCCAATAAAAGCAACGACCTTCGGCAGAGGAAAAAGAAAAAAAACCACCCCTCAACAATGGTCTCGTTCTCCTCCTTTCTATAAATCGCATAAATTGTATGTACGCCAAGTGGAGGTTCCAGATTTGCTCTTTCCTGGTCTCCAAGTAATTCCACTTTTCCTCCGTTTGAACCCCCAAAAATTGCTGTGGCAATTAGCATGGAAAAATCGATGCGAGACAGCCCCCAAGAATAAGACACATTATTAGCGGATAATTGCTGGGAGGATTGCTGCAGGCACCACTGGATTATCCCATAATATTCAGAGATGTTCAGAGCCCATAGGCCACCATAGGGAATCCTTTATTTCGTATTTTGTATATCCCAATACCTTTGAATCCCCATCGGAATCCAAGCTTTTTTCACAGGATTTCAAATGTCAATCTTGTTTCGTTTTGTATGCCAAATGGGATTTACTTGCCATGTTTACAGCAGTCTTCAGAGCTCATTTGATTACAAACAAACTTGGAAAGTTTTCTTTTAGTTTGTTTTGAAGCTGCTGCCGCTTTCGGTTAAGATCCTTTCCAACTAATTAAGAAGGGCAACCGCATATTTGGCTCTGATGCCTTGGAGAAAAGTTTTCCCTTTTCTCTTTCTGTGTGGGAAACTTATCTTATTTCTCCCCACCATATAGTGTATGGATGGGCGCGATAAGCTCCCAAGGCACGTGAGGGCGCGACCTATTATGAGTTGACAGTGAATCGAAAATAGATTAAGTGTCGGACAGGCACTGGCCCTGGTCAATATCGTTTGAGAACCAAAGCCAATTAACTTACAATACCATCAGGCAGACGGGCAGCCAGGCTATTTATCCCATTCGATTCGAGTTCTGTGTTTGCCTTCAGGGAAGGGGGGGAGACGACTGTCTGTCGACTGTCAATATGCCAGAGTTGTCACCCCTTGAGACCCATGTGGCGCTGTGGCGCTGTGACGCTGTGGCCCTCTGGCGCTTTGGCTGTGGCTGTGGTGACAGCTCCTCTGTTTGCCAGACAAAAGTGAATAATTCTGCACCCATTTTCATTTTCATTTTCCTTTTCATTTTCATTTCTACTCAGTTTATTAGTCGTAAATTGTGATTTTCTTGCAATTTTTTTGGTTGGGCTTTTTCTTTGTGCGAAGCTCGTAAATTTCTTTGTCTTTCGTATGGAAAATGGAAAAGGCAGCCCACGCGCTACATATATCATACATATGTATGTATCTTTTAATGTATCTTTCTTGTGTGTGTCAGCAGACAGAGCCAGAGAGAGATTCATTAAAAGTGACCCAGTGAGTCGGTTCTTTCGGTTTCTATCGTCTGGTGACTGTCTCAATCTTAAATCTCCAGTGGCGCTGATAAGCAGACTGACGCATTTGCCTGTTGACTTGGTTATATCTAAAGTCTTGGCTTATCATATACATATATGCAAAATGGGCTCCAGGTTGATTCGATGACGCCTTTCCACCGTCCACCGACCACCGACCTGGCCGTGTCACACCTGCGGTCTCAATACCAATCTACAACCAAGCGATGGTGGAAATGGCTTCCACTAATTAGAAAAACTTTTCTAGTATGATGGCAACTTTTAACTTTTTGTTGATTGCGAAACTTTGCTTTTTATAGTCGGACAATTTCGGGTCGAGGGGATAGGGTCTGAGTGGATCGTAAGAGAGAAGAGAATGGGGATGCGGATTTGGATGTTGTGGTTGATGTAGAGGTGCCATAATGGACTGACTAATGGCCAGGGAAACCTAATCTGGTGGTTGCTGTGGCTGTGTCTTTATCTGTGTCTGGGATTTGGATTCCGTCTCCCTCCACACACGCACTCCGGCACCCCCGGCACTCCCAACACTCCCGGCACAACGCATCGCTGACGAAACTTTGACTTTAATCGATTTAACAATTCTCACCCTCTCCCGTCCCGTCCCACCATCCTTCCTCCTGCCCCAAGGCCCAGTGGCTGAGCTTGTCGTGTGGCCCACAGGCAAACATCAAAAGTCAAGCAGCAGCAGTCGCAGCTGCGTGACGTCAATTGGAGCCACAAACGCAGGCGATGGCGAGTGAAGACGGTGGCGATGGTGTGGTGGGTGGTGCCTGTCTCCCTGTCTCCCTGTCCCCCAGTCCCCTTGCTATTGTTTGCCCATGTCTTATTCGAAGTGTGGTCAAAAGAGCGGCCCACACACAACCAGGGACACGGGCAAAGATACACACACTCACCGACACACCATAATAAGAGTAAATTACTTCTAATAGCCCACGTAGCGAGTGTGTAATCTATTTTGAGTCAACGTACACTTGGCTTCATACATTTGTACATATGTACGATATGTACTTATAAGTTAACCTATGGTTTGTCTTTTCCAAAGTTGGTAAGTCTTTTTTTGTGTGTGTGTGGGCAAAATATGAAGGGAAAAAACCAACAGCAAACACCTCACTTTTAAGAAAGTACAGTAGCGCCTACAATTGCACTGCTTGAACTGCTTGTAATACGAATACTTGCCAGCGTTGCCAGATGTAACAGCGACTCTGCCCATCGCTTAATTCGAAGAAAGATCAATTTATCCTTTGAGCCATTTACAAAATTGATGTTTCCCGCATGTCCTATGGA